AGCACAATTTGGAAATTGGGGATTGAGTATGACCTGGTGCACCTCTAATCTGGTGGATGAATTCAGCAAGGTGCGACCGGGCGCAATTCTAGGCTGACGGACAAACTCGGCACTTCCTCATCATGAGACGATCCCACTTCCACGCGGCACCCCCATGAATTCCAGGTCAGTATCGAGTATCTGAGGTAGGCATCACCCGTCTCATGTCAGTGAACCTCTTGTCTTCGGTAAATAGCAGGCTGACGTTGGTGGTAGCAGGGCAACGAGCTTTTGGTGCACGACAGAAGTCAATTCCTCTCAGATATGATGAGGAAATCGGGTGTCGGTGGCCAGCTGCACTGACCCTAGGCGAGATACCAACATGTTGAATTTAAGGTTTATTGAATTTAAGGTTTGTGGGCATTAAACATGAACATTGAACATTGTCAGTGAACAGGGCAATACGTGTTGAGTATAGGCAATGAATATGGAAATAAACAATGTTGTACATGCTAGCTAGCAAATGAATACATTGAGAAATTTTGTTGTGCAATGATTACGACCAGTAGTACAGTAACACAGAGCAGTAATGGCGCCATAAAATGCAATATACTTAATTATACATAAAATAATAAAATTATTCAATATAAAATTTAAATAAAAAATAAAAAAGCATAAATAAATTCATAAAGTGAATGAGAAAATAATTAATCTTGGTGGAAATGCAGTGATTTACTGGATGTGCAGTAATGTCGTGCAGTAACAATAATATAAAGTGCAATATTTTAATTGGACGGAATTAGTGCAAAATAGACATATTTAAATAAAGGTATTTTGGTCATTAAGCATTATAATTAATATAATATGAACGGTATTTTCTTTTATTTTTGGATTTTTGGTCATACAAATGTCTAAAAACTACGTTAGTCATATTTAGGTAAACTCAATGAACTTTAGTTATATCCTAAAAAATTTGCCAATATAATAATGATAATAATTATTACTACCTCCGCCGCAAATTAATTTGCAAATTTGACTTTTCTTGGTCAAACAGTTTTATTTTATTTGCTTAATTAGGATGACAATTTTTAATTATATTCTAATTTGGAGTTTGCAACTTTGAAGAGATTTTAATGTAGTTTCTGAATATATATATAAATGTAAATTTTAATTATTAAAATTTGAGTTAATTATCAATAGGGAGGAATGATTTTTATTATTCGTTGACAAAAGATGTTGATTTACGGAGTATTTTATTAGTTTGCATATTTTCCAAGAAACACAGACAACACTTGATTCACTCCATGATAATAATGAAATTATGAATTTTCACATTAGTACGTTTAGATATACAGTTTTTTACAATCCAATAAACAATGAGAACTTATCTGGTCAGGCGCGCCTGACCAGAACCGCCGTGCGGACTTACCCGTTTGGGGCGGTTCCCGGTGGAATTTTTTGATGAAATTTTTTGAGCATGTTTCTCATCAAGTCTAGTTAATGCATACCAAATTTCAGCTCAAAATTCGACCGGGAAGACAGTCAAATAAATTCTTGAAACTTAGTGCACTTTATATATGCGCAGAATGTGCAGTATGTTTCAAGAATTTATTTGACTACCTTTCCGGTCGAATTTTGAGCTGAAATTTGGTATGAATAAACTAGACTTGATGATGAACATGCTCAAAAAATTTCATCAAAAAATTACACCTGAAACAGCCCCAAACGGGCAAGTCCGCACGGCGTTTCTGTTGAGGCGCGCGCCTGACCAGATAAGTAGTCATAAACAATATTACAGGTATCAGACTATCAGGGTATGCCATTCTATTGATTTCTATCAAACACAACTGGACCCAGATGACATCATGACAATCACACTATGCATTATATCACATTCTTTTTATTATTATTATATCATATTAAAGAAACTCAATATAGTACGTATAAGATAATTATTGAAGCATATACGGAGTATATAATAATATATGCATATCAGTATATCAAATACTATCGTATATAATAACGCAGAGTCGCATATAATAAGGTCCGTTGTTACATCGCTTTATGCATGTAAGTGAAACGGAGTAAAATCACAAACACATACGGAGTACTCCGTATATGAAAGCTAAAAAGCATATAAGTTGAAGGCCGAATCAAGGCGGCGGGGGGCGGCGGGTGGCGGTGAGGTGACTTTATGTACAATGAGGGACCGGTGAGACATCCCCTATCAATCTAAGTTTTTTAACATTTGAACATGAAGCATTGACTTTTTTTCGTCCTATGCCTCTTAGACTCACATTATCCAACACAATACCTTCGCATGGATACGCTTGGCTGCACTTGAATGATATTGCTGTTTTACTGTTACTTGTTCCTGTTATGTTTTTATATGTGACATCACTTATTTTCACAGCTTCTTTCTGAAACAAAGAGAGAGAAAAATTAGTTATGAAACAAAAAACGTTGGTTTCAGGGACCTGCTTTGCTGTCAAATATAACACAGAAAGGAGAACAAAGCAAAACACACGAATTGGGAGAATTCCCCTTTTTTATTACTTGAACTGAAATAAGCAAATTCACGAAGGAATACCAATAAAGTCATTCCCTATAGTCATTACCGGTGGGCGTAGCTCAACTGGTAGAGAGGGAGTGCCACAAGGGTTAGGTCTCGGGTTCGAATCCCGGCAACTGCGATGAGGGGTTACTATGCTGAAAAATGCATAGGGCTTCTGCAAGTACCGGGGACAGAGCCCCACTCTCCATCTGTCAGATTGTGATTATAGTCCAATTTACATCCTCCTTTAGTTCAAAGCTCTTTAACTAACCCACACACCCAATAAAAACAAACTATTTTTTAATGATAACAATAAATAATTAATAACTAAGTGAACCAAATAATTAATAACTAAATTTAAGATTATTCCAACAAAAAAGACAGTCCAGTGCACATCGATGTCCGCACAAGGCGAGGCTCCGAAGAGGACCCATCACAAGCGTCCCAATATAAAGCACACATTTGCATTTTCAAACTTTTTTAGGAGGAACACTGTTTGACATTGTTTAGACACTGTTTGGACAATGTTTAGACTGTTTGACACTGTTTTGCACTATTTTGTTTGCCAAAAAGGGAAATGTGTCTTTTATATTGGAACATCCCAACAAAGAATATGTGCCTTTTATATTGGGACGGAGAGAGTATTTCTTTGTGATATTGACCAGGGACGGCTTTCAAAACTTGAAAGAGTGGCCTCTCAATCACACAATATACCCTACCCAATAACCCAATGCTTAAAGGCTACCCTTAAACTAATACATGTCTGAAATAGAAACAAAATAACAGCACATTGCAGTAATGGGTAATTAATTACCTGCTCAGGGCAAGAACCGGTTTGGGATTCAGATTCGACACAATAGTCTTGATCTATAAGTATGGGATTCTTCACATTCTCCATTTCGATGTCTTCAAACGAAATATATGTTGCATTTCCTATCCCACCCTTTTGTACATACATTTTTTGTGAAGTTGTAAAATAAATCAATTACTTGCAATTTTAGAGTAAGAATGTACTATATAATGGTAACATTACATGTAGTTCTAACCTAGAAGTAATTAATATCAAACTTAAAAATACCATCAATTATAATTAAGGAAATCAACATATTATTTATATTTCAAAATTTCACAATCTCTTACTCATATTTCAGAAGTTTTGTATTTGGAGTGTAGATTCATGCACACGTACATTAGTACATAACTATAATGACTGTTTTTATAATGACAAAAGAGCTTAAGATGTTACTTATTAAAATTTGAGGTTTCATAATAAATTATCAACAAATGGTAAAAAAATGCTATACTATCTCCTTAATTTCTAATTGCAACATATTCTGTACATGGAAATATTTTTTTATTCGTGACATTTTCATTTTCATGAAGATTACCTTATTTTCATCTGATCTCTCTTAGTGGTACTTCGTATTTTTTTATCATATGAAATTACAAGAGATTGTCATATGATGACAAATTGAAAAATGACAAGCGGTAAATAAAAAAAGATAGTACCTTATACAATATATTTTGAATTTTCAGTACACATATTCTATTTATACTATATTTTATTTAATAATGAATTAAACATCTTACCATAAAATATTGTGAATTTCAATTGTTATTTTTATAAAGTTAATTCACTTTTATTAATATTTCAATAGCTAATTGAATATAATTATTACTCAATCTAGCTTAGCTTTTGTGTTGGTAAATTCAGGTTTTGTCGATATAAAAGGGATAAAATTAAAACAAAGAAAAGATTTTGCAGGCACCTAAAATAAAGTATGTCATATTTGCAGGGGCTAAAATATACCTGCCAGGTCTTTATTCTCACTCCGTTTGTTGTTCCTATGAATTTGGCTCTTTTGACTACAACGTTCGATACATGTTCAACCTCTGTGTTACCTAGTCGTCCCAAGCTCCCAATACTATATAAACTCATCAAGAAACATAAATAAGAAACATAAATGAAAAACTGATTGACTGTCAGATCGAGCTTGTTCGTTAACACCTACTTTCGGCTAATAAATTACTGAGTATATATTAGTAAATCAGTGAATTTTTGTTGTCAAACATGTGCATGTGATTCTAAGCTTTGAATTGTGTCATAATCAAAATAGTAAGGTAGACGTTACTTTCTGGCTTATTTCGTTGAAATTGTTGAATATCGTTACTATTCAAGCAACATTGTGATATAATTTATTGTTTACTATATTAGTAAGTATGGAGTATATTTTAAATTAAACATAATTTATTCATAATTCGTTATATTTAGCCAATTCAACCATTTTTGTCAATATTTCACAAATTTTAATTAATTCAGTCAATTTAAGTGTCATGAAAGAGGCTCCAATTTACTTAAGTGAAAGATGACACCACTTCTATCCATTATAACTTTAAAAACATAGATGACACCACTTTTATCCATAATAACTTTAAACACGTACTTTTCCATTTTTTTTATCTCAATAAATTTATCATTTTTTTTTTTAATTCTTTCGTTTGTAATTCTTTTCGATTACTCAACCTTTATTTTATTCACATATAAAAAGGCATGTCGAAAAAGCTTGAATTGATTACCTAATTCCATGCCCCGGCCCACATTGTGTGTCAAGAACTCTAACCATTGTTGTTTTGTTTACTATTGAAACACAATCGTCACCTGAAAGGGTTTAGGCAAAATTCATATTCAAATGGCTGACATGATATTAAACGATACCATTGAATCCGATAATTATGAACTTAAGTGTTGTTCATTATTGTTTTATATTTTTTCTTTAAATGAAAAACAAAATTCTGATTACAAGCAATTTGTTTACACTTCACAATTCTTTAAAATTAACACGACCACCTCAAGTATGATTATTTTAGAGAAATCGAGGTACATAACAATAAAAAACATAACATGTATAAATATCTAAACATGAACTCCGTTCCATTTTTAGCCTGTAATCCTCAATTTTCATATTCACCCAATTCTGCCCTTAATGTGGCAGATATATAGCTGTGCGCGGTAGACTGTTTTTAGGGGCGGAGCCAAGGGGGGTCAGGGTGGTCAGCCGACCCGCTGAAAGTTCAAGAATGTAGAGCTCTAAAATATCTTCGATTTGATATATTATGGGTCCCGTAACTCATTACGAGTAAAAAGTTATGACTTCTGGAAAAATCAGCACCATCTTAAGTTGAAATAAGCAAAATTTGACTTGTGACGTTGGTTATATTCTTAAATTTAAAAATAAAACACCTTATTCACTCATTAGTTGTGTGAACATTATGATATATTACACATATATCAATACATTAACTGAAAAAGACTCATTAAACTATCATCTATCTTAATTACATATGAAACATTTAATTCAAATATTGTATAATAACTATTCATCATTTTGATACTGTGTATAATTAAACTCCGACCCCCCTCATACACTTTTCTGGCTCCGCCCCTGACTGTTTTATACTCCATTTGTCCCTGAATTATCTTTCAACTTTTTTTTTCCGATCCGTCTGTCTCAAAATGAGTCTTGCTCTATGTACCCCACCCTTTGTGTGATTCCAATGAGTCCATCATTTAAATGAATTGTCCTACTTAAATGAATTGTCTCATTTGAACCACAAAATAGGGGGTTCAAATTGGCCCCACTTAAGATTATTTCATCTCAAAATAATCTTTCATTTCTCATTTTGTCAAAAATTGTGGTTCATAGCAATACTGATGTTATATAATCTTTCACATTTATCTTTCCTCTGCACAACTTATTATCTTAATTCTCGTGCCAAATGTACTTTGGAAGATAATTTAGGAGTGGAGGAAGTATGGCATAAATCAAACAACAATATATGTTATCTATGATTGATGGCTATTTATATCTATCCTTTGACAATTTACCATACTCTTATTTAGTCTTCATAATTCATGTTTGAAGACTCAGTATTTTGTTACTTGGAATATGTTTTGCTCCTCTTCAAAATAAATTCTAATATTATACGTATCTTTTAGTTTATTGTAAGAAAAAATTCTCTAATATTACTAAGGCTAAAGGGTCAAATAGGTACATGAACTAACGTAAAGTGTTCAATTAACCCCTTATAAAGGAGTTTCTGCCCGGACGTCGCCAATTGGGTCGGTTCCCGGTGGAATTTTTTGATGAAATTTTTTGAGAATCTTCTTCATTAAGTCTAGTTTACCCATACCAAATTTCAGCTAAAAATTCAACCGGGAAGGCAGTCGAATTATTTTCCGAAATGTACTGCGCTGTTTAATTTTTCAGAAAATCATCGACTGCCTTTCCGGTTGAATTTTTAGCTGAAATTTGGTCTGGGTACACTAGACTTAATGAAGAAGATGCTAAAAAAAATTCATCAAAAAATTCCACCGGGAACCGCCCCAATTGGCGACGTCCGGGCAGAAACTCCTATATAAGGGGCTAATTGAACACTTTAAGTTAGTTCATGTACCTATTTGACCCTTTAGCCTATTACTAATGGGAAAGTGGTAGGCATAATGTGACTTGATAACTTTAGTGACTATAATTGGTTCAAAGTTACTACCATTTAATGACTATGATGTAAGCTTTGGACACAATTATAGTTACTAAAAATTACTAAATTACATTTTTGTCCATAACTTTTGTATTAGTAATACTACGTATTTTAGAAAAAAAACTTATTATAATACTCCCTCCGTATCACTTTAGTAGTTTAGTTGTCTCATTTGCTTTTCATGGAGCTTAAGCTAATTAATGTAGATTTTATAAAAAGTAACAAGTTTGGTACTGTAGCAGTACTATAATGATACTGTAGCTGCTTTTTGAGTGAGTTCTTTCCAAAACGGAAAATATGACAATTAATTTGATGCACCCAAAAAGGGAAGTGGGACAACTAAAGTGATACAGAGGGAATAAAACATATATCAAATTCAAATGCTACTTCCAAGCATTCTTTATCCCATTTTCATTATCACATGACTTTGGAATTACGAATTGGTAAAATAGAAATGAAAAAATTCCACTTTTGGTCCTGCGAGTTTTGCACCAATTCCACATTTAGTCCTCGTCTTTCACTTTATCCATTTTTGGTACCTGACTATTGTTTTCTTGACCATATATAGTCCTTTTCCGGTAGTAAAAATGCCCGGAGTTGGACCAAAAATGGTCAAAAAAACAATAGTCAGGTACCAGAAATGGATAAAGTGAAAGACGAGGACTAAATGTGGAATTGGTGCAAAACTCATAGGACCAAAAGTGGAATTTTTTGAATAGAAATAGAAAGTGCTAGGCAAACTGATAAATAGAACTTTTGTGACATACGCGTTATTTTAAAAAGAATTTGATTCATTGTTCTCCATCTCAATTAACATTAATAATGACAAGACTTACATTATAACTATACCACCACGATTTAAATACATAGATAAATTAAACATAAACATAATTTTTTTTTGTTTTTTTTATTCCAGGGGACGTCTGAGGGGGGCCTTTAGGGAGGCCGGAGTAATCAGGGATAAAAATCACCCCATTGAGTTTCGAAACCGAGACCTCCCATAAGAGTGAGTCATAAATATGATTGTTTCGAATAATTCGAAATATTTAATATATCAAATAAAAAAAGTGAAAACTGACAACAATGCAGTACAACTCAACTCAATATTTTATCAACATATCACTTTTTTCATTAATATTCATGGAACCTAACAATACTCGTTTAAATAGTCATTACAAAAAAATACAAGATTGACACGGATTTGGCATATATTGACTTATGATTTCATACTAAATAACTCGTGTCAAAATGTTTTTCGCATAAATTTAGCATGTCGCTATTGTTGGGTGTGTTTCGGAAAATAAAGAAAATTAATTAAAATAAATTAATTAAATAAAATGACGAAAGAAAACAAGAAAAGAGATGGAGCAGAATTTGTCAAAGCTCGTGCTACGCACGATGTCCTTAAAACGTATTTGTTGCCTCCCACGGTGCTAGGAGCGTTGCAACAATAGTTTCCCAGGATACGATGACAACGAACTAGTGTTTGAGCACTCAAACAAAAGTTCCAGCGAACGAGAACAAAGACTGAACACAGAAGGAATTTTCAGAGTGCTAGCAGTGTGTTTTAGAGGTGCAAAAGGTGCTTGGAGTGTATGAGTTCGTGTAAGAACATGTAAAATCGTGTGTTGTTGCAAACCACCTGCCAGCCATTATATAGGAGGATTTGTTGTGTGTAAATGGTGAATTAATGGACCTGAACGTTGGACATCAATGACCAGTCCGTTGGGCATTGAATCGTCCATGAACTGTCCATTTAACGCTGCATTAAAAGATAAGAACGTTGGGCATTAATTGTTGTAACGTTTCAGAAGTGCGACAGAAGACCTCCATCAGAACACCCCGGGAGGGGTTCTGATCGGAGGCCAATCAGAAGACCCCCAACTCTGATCCGCGGCCATCAGAGTACCCCCAACTCTGATGTGCGGCCATCAGAATACCCCATCTCTGATGGGCGGCCATCACAATACCCCATGAGGAGTTCTGCCATCAGAACACCAACGAGGTGTTCTGATCTGTAGGCTTCTGTCCGAGTACTTCTGCCGCTGGGAAAAAATTAAACGTCGTTTCGGGAAGAAAACAAAAATTAATCGTATCTCTTGAGACTCAATTTACACACAACAAATCCTCCTATATAATGGCTGGCAGGTGGTTTGCAACAACACACGATTTTACATGTTCTTACACGAACTCATACACTCCAAGCACCTTTTGCACCTCTAAAACACACTGCTAGCACTCTGAAAATTCCTTCTGTGTTCAGTCTTTGTTCTCATTCGCTGGAACTTTTGTTTGAGTGAACACAATAACTTGTGTTCAGTCTTTGTTCTCGTTGCAACGCTCCTAGCACGTCGTTTCGGGAAGAAAACAAAAATTAATCGTCCGCAGGTCGCCCGCGCACGCAAGTCGCGGTTTTTCTTCTCCGAATTTGGGATTTGATTTGCACCCCCCCCTGCGCGCGTGGAGAGAGCCTTTACCCTTAGGAATCTTAACTCCTTAAGGGGAGAGTCCCTTTATAAAGGGTTGCAAATCCCTTGGGTTTTCCGGTGTGGGAAATTAACACTAGAAACCCATCCTTTTTCCCAGTTTCTCCATTCTAACGGGTAAACTTCGAAAAGCGATTTCTCATTCACCCGTTATCCGTTTTGAGCGTACCATATATCGAATTGTAGCCCTTAACAAGGACAATCCGAAACCACTTTGACCCGACCCAAATCGGAAGTGGACCCCACTCAAAAAATTGCCCCAAAATAGCCATTTAATGCAATTTTTCACACATTTTTCCAACAGCTATTAAATTCTCTATTATTTTGACAAATCTGTGTCAAAAATCTCTATCAATCCTGTGTTTTTTATAGTGAGTAGGACATACGGAGTAATAAAAGTGAATTTGGAGTGAAGTTTTTTGAAGAGAAAAAGCGAGAAAGGGTAGCCAACATCATTTATTATTTACCTGTGGCAATGTTAGAATTGGTGATAGTAACATTGTAGCTCCCACTTACATGTATCCCATCAGTATTGGGGCTATCTTCAGGAGCTTGTATTTTGATGTGTGAAGCTTCAACATTTCGAGTTACATTAAAAGTCAGATGCATCTTTTGGGCATTTTTAAACGATAAGTTTTCCACCTTCAAATTTGTGGAATTCTCAAACATGACTGACTGTTCCCCAACCAAAAAAGAAGAAAAACATAAACATTGTTAGAATAATGTCGGGGCTATAATAAGAAATCGAAATTTAAGTGCATCCGTCTCGATTGGTCAATTTAAATTTGTCATTGTGCGATCTATTTTATATTTATATCTAGTTCGATTTAATTTGAGATTGAAATCAAGGAAAAACATCATAATTCATCTACTCCCATTTAAAAACTAACATGTTTAAGTGTAAATGACTTTTATAGATTAAGCCATTAAGGTAAGTAGTGAAACTTACAAATGGTACTAAACCTTTGTCGCAGGTCTGCAGAAACAAAAGAAGAGCTATTAGTATGGAGTGTTGACCCAATCCAACCAAAAACACATGATATCATTTTTTATGTGATTACATATATATTTTGAATTATCTATTCAAGCTTGTTCTAATATGGTTTGATCAATCCAGATTTGATCTACTTAATTTTTATATACACAATGTTACAAAATGCTCAAATATTTGTATCAAGCACATTAGTTTGATACTAGTATAAAATAATAAATCAATATACGGAATATAAATTTCCAATTTACTCCTATGAATTACGGAGTACAATTTTTAGCATCGAGCCCATCTCTTAACAAAACCTCCTACCAAGGATGCCTAAATACGAATTCTGCTATAAGAGAACAACATCATTTAACATTATAGTATTTTAAATTTAGGATGTTTTTACTTGGATTGAAATTTGTTGATCTGATCTGAGTTAGTAAATGTCTGGTCTCTGTGTAAAGGGGTGTTTAGAACTGATTATGCTTCCGCTTCGTTTTTAAAGCAGAAGCAGAATCAGTTTTCAGAAGTTGACCGGTCTCCACCAACTTCCAAAAAACTGCCCTAGGAGTAAATTAGAGTACCTGAAATACTTCTCCACTTTCACCCAAACACTCCAACTTCTGTCTGCTCTTTGAAGGAGCAGTAGCAGTTTTAAGAATCAGATCCAAACACTCCCTAATTTATAACTATAGAAGTTTGTTTTCATTTGGCGCGGTCTAGCTGCTTTGTTTAAGTATGAGCTAGTTTTGTTTGATCTGTTTAAATTTGGTCTAATATTCTGATATGTGACCGGAAAAATATAATCCCAAGTAAAAAACACCCTTAGTAACGCTATAAGTTGGGTGAAATTGCCGAAATTGCTACTGAAATGAGTGAGATGTGTGGTTTTAATTCAAGTAAACTGAACGCACCGCTGTTTCCTTGAAATTGCAAGAATCCTTCCACCAGGTTTTCCCACTTCCATCTATGGTGCCTTTATTGCCATCCCCATCAACATGGAAGTAGTCCAGATACCTTAAAACCATCCAGTTTAGCCTCCCTGTAACCTCATAATCTCTTTTATTCGGAGAAGCTTTAATTGTTCCTGATATCTAAGAAATAATGTCATAATTATAATTAGTACTACGTATTAAAATAACGATGATGGAAAAAATGGTACCTCCTATGTATAGTGACAAATCTTTTTTATATAATTATATATTCAATTTTACACTAAAGTCAACACGACATTACAAAATAGTAACTTTAGTTTGAATAATATTCTAAGAAAATTTCAATATCTAATCTAGGCCATAATCAAGAAAATGAAGTTAAGATCAAATTATAATTACTTAATAATCTGAAATAAGAGGTCAAATCATGTCCAGCCGACCTGACGGGAACCGCCATCCGGCCGAGGTCATTTGGGACCCTTCTTGATGAATTTTTTTTGTTGATTCCTTTTAGAATGTTCTTCATCAAGTCTAGTTTAATCAATTGGGAAGACAGTCAAAAGTGTAATTGAAAAAGACTGCGCTGTTTATATACTCCGTATATACAAAGCACAATTTTCTTCAAAAAATTATTTGAATGTCTTCCCAATTGAATTTTAGCTGAAATTTGGTACATGTAAACTACACTTGATGATAAAAAAAATCATCAAAATATTTCATTGGGAAGGGTCTGAAATGGCCTCGGCCAAACGACGGTTCCCGTCAAATCAGCTGGACAGGAACGCCACTCTCTCAAATAAATTGGGTAATACATATAAATGGGGTCACCTTCATCTTAAGATTTTGCCTGCAGGGTCCATCCAAAGACATTGGCTTCAGTAAATATGTCTTTGTAGGAGGAATCAACAACTCTCCTTTTTCTGTTTCACAAAATTTCTTCCAAGCGCGACTGAATGCCTGATAGACCTCGTAATTGTGAGATCAAATAAAAATATAAACTACAGAGTAACATATAAAGTCGTCGAACATATACATACTTCCGAATCATCAGTATGCCCGTCGCCTCGAGCGCCGAAATGATCCACATTGATGACAATTCGCTTATCATCAATAGGAAAGCAATCAAGGCATGAGAGGGAGAAGATTATTGTTATGGTTATGGCTAATGGCCTACTCAAGAACATTTTCAAAACTAGCTTTGTTCCACCAAATTCTCACCTAGCTGAAGATGATTTTAATTTGTTTTCTTTGAATCTAGAATGCGAAGTACATATTATTAGAGATAAATACCGAGTAAATTTCAAAATCGGTATGAAATGATACCCCATTAGTCTATTGTCAAAAAAGCAAAACATGCTCATCATCCATTCATGATTCGTACTAGTTTTTTGACAAAATGCGCCGTATCAATTCCTGCACTTCTTAACTTTATGTAAAATATTACGAAGTACTCCGTATTATTATTATTACTCAGAAAATTAAATAATTAAGCCTCTATTTTATGTTAATTAATTAATTAACGTATCGAATAATAAATTATAGTTCAGTAAGATATAATTACTGTTGCGAGTGAATCAAATAAATTTGGTTCCATTATTGTTCCAAATTTGAAATGTGGATTCGGATCCGAATAAACTCAATATCTAATAATATACGAGTATGTTTTTTATTCAAAGGGTTTGTTAAATAGAATGTCGACCCTCAACTCTTTTGGGATAATGATTAGATGTTGTTGGTATTGTTGTTTATTGTAATTTGTAAATATAATAGAATAAGAATAAAACACAATTATATTGGTTCGTCTAATACTAGAATCACACGACCCAAACTTAATGCTTTGATATCAGATTTCCCAATTCTGTAAAGACATATAGATTCCAATATATAACATATTGGCTCCTCTTACTACAATAAAGACCGGCTAAAAATATGAATCCAATAGTCATTGAAAAGAAAAAAGGTATTTAGAGCGTATCCCACACCGACCATCCACCGGAAAGGACTTGTATTTTATTTGACTAGCTACCAAAATCCTCATCTTAAGAAACTCTTGGCATGACATATACCTCATGATTTCATGGCATCATTGTGACACTCTGAAGGAGAAGATCACATGTTCAAATCTCATATCAATTCAAGAATGATGGCCTTAAAAAAACTCTTGGCATTGGTGATTTAGTTATGAATTTTAGAATGTTGTGGATATGGCTAGAATTCTCTATATGAGTGTAGATAAATATTGAATGTTCTAGAATATTATGAAACCTTCTATAGAGGCGTTAAATTATCTAGAAACGTGTGGAAGAGTGTAGAATATTCTAGAACACTGTGGAGCTTTCTAGAGAAGAATGAAATTCTCTGGAATTGTGTGGAAGTGTGTGAAAGCCTCTAGAACATTCTGAAGTAGTGTGGAGACGTGGAGTTCTCTATATCATTCTAGAAGATTGGAGAAGCTTGTGGATACTTATTAGAATAGTCTAGAAGTGTAATGATGTATAGAAAGTTCTAGAGAAGCTGATGGATAGTCTACCCGGGGGGTATCTTATCCGAGGGGTTATTGCGGGAATAACTTAGAGAGAAGTCAGAGTAAATAGGAGGAGAGAGAGTCGATTTTATTAAATGAACTCAGTGTGTGTAATCGAGATGTCGATTCTTATTTACAAGGAGAAATGGGCTGCTATTTATAGCAGCAATAAATGCGATGAGAGGACACGTGTCAGTAATCCAACGGCCGAAGGGTCACATCAGCCGGTTGGCACCGGCAGTGGTACGTCCACCGCATTGATTGCGGTTGGCGGATGTGACGCGGCATTAAATGCGGTGGTTGGCTGTCTCTAAAAGGAATCTTCGATGATTGAGCCAGTTTAGCCGAGGGCTCCTTGTTTAGCCGAGGGCTCCTTGTGTAGCCGAGGGCTCCTTGTGTAGCCGAAGGCTTGGTTCAGCCGAAGGCTTCCGCTGGTGCCGAGGGCATGAGAATGCCGAAGGCTCATGTTTTTGCCCGTTTTCTCCTAGCAGCTTCTTATGCCAGAGAGGGCTATCCTGCGAGTTTTGGAGCCTTCGGCCAAGGAGGCCGAAGGCACCCCAGTGTGTATTCTGGGCTACTTTGAGGCTTGGGCCGTTGTATTTGGGCCTGAGTTGTTTCCTGAGCTCAATGGACTTGTGTGGGAGAAGTAGGAGTCTATGGGCCGGGGGTTCCTGGGCCATATACTCCATCAGGAGTCCCTCACTCCTTTTGCCGAAAGGTACTTGAGGGAAAAGGAGTAGATGTGTTGATTCTCCCGGAGGCTCCATCATTTGGTTGGGCGCCTTTGCTTGAGAACTGCCTTCTGCTGATTGCCGAAGGCTTCCCTCAGTCCCTCACAGGTCGAGGGTTTTCTGAGGGAAGGTATTCATGACCTTCGCATGCCTGCCGGGGGCTCCCCTCAGTTGTTTACATGTCGAGGGTTTCCTGAGGGAAGCATAGATGTATTTCCCGCATGTGTTGTGATGAGGGCTGCTTCGTTTCCGCAAGTGACCTGTGATATCCTGCCTCTGCCGAAGGGTATATTGAAGCATGTACCCGGGGGTTTCTGCTCTGATGCCCGGAGGCTACATGCGTCAATTGTGAATCTTTGCATGAGGAACTTCTGTCCTGTATGATTCCCGAGGGGTGTATCCCAGTCCCCCACTCCTTTAGGCCGAAGGCGAGTTCGGGCTGAAGGAGTTATAATGTGTTGTTGGGTTCCCCGAGGGGTGACAATGTTGTCATGCCGGGGGCTTGCGCTGCCGCGGGCTCGAAGGCGTTTGGTGGAATTCGTTGTTCGAAGGATGTGGCGGGTGATAGCCGGAGGCTATCATTCGAGGGCACCCCAGTGTTGCCGAAATATAGTCGTTGTAATATAGCCGTTGGAAGAGGGTTCCACGTGGCGCTTTGTCGTTGGCAGATGGGGGGCGGCTTCCATCCATTGGCTGAACCGGCGGCCCGTAATGATGGCCTTTTCAAATCCAGGCCCAGTTCTCAAGGCTGAAAGCCTATATATACTCCAAGTCTGAGCTCATTTCCGCTGCGCGTTTTAGAATTGAAGCGAAGCTCTGCCAAAACTTCTAGAGAGAGAAAGTCCTTGCTTCGATCAAATCCTATTTCTAAGGTCAGTTCTTCCTCAGTTCTTCGTTTCTTCGGCATACTTAGCTACTTCGGCCTTAGATTTAGCGTTTTAGTTCCCCCCAGTTAGTATTCTTTTCCAATCTTCCTCCTTATTCCGCGAAAAGATGTCCTCGGCAAGCGACTCCCAAAACATCTCGGAGGAAGCCCCCGCCGAGGCTTCGTCCAACAATGATTCTGAGGTGGCGAGAGAGGTACAAAGCAACCTTCATGCTGAGGTTGAAGCCGAAAACTTCGAACAGGTTGCTGAGGACGAGGAGATGGCCCTCGCGCTTCAGGTAGCTGAGGAAGAGGAGGAGAAGGAGAGGCAACGTGTCACGGTTGCTTTTTTGCCTTCGCGAGGCGCCGGTGAAACGAGTAGCTCCCGGCCAATTGACGCGGTGCCCCTCCGGGTAGCTTCGGGGAAGAAGGGAAAGAAGCAGAAGGCTGCCCAGAAGAAGAAACAGGCTGCGGTAGATGCAGGACAGCCGGTGGGAATTCCCGAAGGACATTCCTACCTCAACACAGCCGCGCTAGATTTGAAGACGAAGGCTGTGGAGGCGGAGTATCTCAAGACTCAGCTCTTAGTGGGCCCGTCGGCACAGGTGGCGGTGCCAGGTCCTGACGACGTGCTGTTATCTCCCCCCGAAGGCTGCTTTGCTGTGCATATCCTCTCGGTGGAGTTGGGCCTCCGCTTCCCCTTGCACCCCTTCGTCGTGCAATACCTCCGGTTCGTAGGCCTCGCTCCCTGTCAGTTAACTCCCAACAGCCATTCATACTTGGCGGGGTTCCTCTCTCTGTGTGATTCCCGGGGGGTGGAACCTTCTCTTGACCAGTTTTTCCTGTCCTTCAACCTTTGCCGGGGGGGGCCGCAAACAGCGAAGGCTTTGCCAACCTTCAACAGCTGCCGGCATGGAGGCTATTTTCAGAGGTACCCTCGTCCCATAAGGGATGGAATGATTGATTCTGCTACCTGAGGATGCTGGGAGCTGATTTCCCGAGGCCTCTCCGCAATCATTTCCGGAGGCACCCCAAGGTAGGCAACGCCGCCCTTGAGAGTGATGGGAAAAAGCTGAAGGCGAAGCTTCCGGGTTCAGAGAAGCTGACAACAATCAAGGCCGCCACGCTCCCGGAAGAGCTGTTTAAGCTAGAATTCCGGCGGTATCGCCTGCCAGGGGAAAAAGACGAGAGATATCCTCTCCTTGACCGGGGCTCTCCGGGTGTTAGAGGTTGTTGCCGAGGGCCATTACTGTTAGTACTTAGAGATGTAAGTCCTTGATTTGCTTTTGATTCTAACTTCTTCCTTGATGTTCTTTCGCAGGCGATTTTATGGACCCGAGGGCATTCTCCAAGCTGTCCCGGCAATTGGCCAAGGACAAGAAGAAGAAGGAGGAGAGGCCTCCGGCACAACCGCAGGGAGACGCCCTCTCCAAGAAGCAGGAGACCCCTGAGGGTCAAGGGCCCCCAAAGGGGGTTGCAATCGCTGGCGCCGGTTCTGATGCCGGAGGCTCCAAGGAGGGGGAGCTCAAGCGAAAAAACGTCGGGAAGGGCGTCAGGCCTCCGGAAAGGAAAAAATTGAAGGGGGACGTTGAGCCGAAGGATACCCCCGTGGTGATCATTGATGACCCCCCAGCCGGCCAATCGTCTGCCACTGCTCCCCTGGAGGATCTTGTCGAGGGTGCCTGGCCCCTTGAAACAGTACACTTCCCCATCAAGAAGGGGACAGCCATCATGCATGGCACCCTCGACCCGAGGGAGTTCTTGAGGGGTGCCACCCCTTCGGTGGATCGGTTCACCCTTAGCCGGTTCGGGGACGAAGCCCTCGAGCTCAAGGCCCTCCAGGCCTCGGCCACTGTAAGTATTTCGACCTTTGGAATCTTCTGTTATTGTGTTCCTTTTCCTTTGCATAATCTGATCCCAGGTGTACCCCTGTTTGCTTGCAGGCTAGCTTGGCCTTCGGGGAACTTGTCCGCAGGGCGGAACAGTACCGCCTCGAGAAGGCGAAGTCTGACGAGGTGACGAGGAAGCTCATTGCCAATAATACTGAGGCCATCAAGCAGCTCACTGTATTGGAGGAGGCCCTTCGGCAGGCCGAGC